TTGCAGAATTAAGAGTCCTTTTACTGATTATAAGTAAATAGAAGCTAAGCAAAGCTGGATCTGAGCAAAAGCGCGCGAAAGCATTAGATATCATTGCATGACCTATTCCCCTCCCCTTGGTAACCCCAGTCCATAGTCCAATCCAATATCACCACAGCTGTCAGGTGGAAGACATCTTCAAAAAGCATCATCATTGGTATGCCGGACAGTTGGCCTTGGCAGGAAACTCCCCTCCTTGGCCACATGCGCAGTAGATGCTAAGAACAACTCCCAAATAACAGTCCTCCCTCCCCGTTTCAATGGCAGCCGAAAAGCAAGCAGCAAAACAGAGGCTGACAAACCTCCTGCTAGCTTCCTTGTTGACTTTGCTTGTTGAAAGTTGGAAGTGAAGGTTAAAAATTGCATGACGGTATTATGCTGCAGTGTCGTAATTGTAATCCAATCACCAACATAAATACAGGGACACTCCAAACGTCAGAATTAAGTATCTCTCTTTCAGAATAGTCGTAAGTTCAGATGGTTATTGAAGGTAAATGAGGGCCACTTGAAATCATGTATCAATCACAGTTTTATTTTTAACTTATAATAACCGGTCTTTAGGACCCAGATACAACGTGTTCCTCTTCCATAATGTCTTTTAAACACAGTCTTATCTATAGATGCAGAGGGTCTTAAGCTTACCTTCTGGATCTGTTGTTCAAAAATGCCTTTCAAAATGTCCATGTTTAGAGAACCAGTTTGGTGTCGTGGTTAAGGAATCAGGCTAGAAACCAGGAGACTGTAAATTCTAGTCCCGCTTTAGGCACAAAATCAACTAGGTGACCTTAGGCCAGTCACTGTCTTTCAGCCCTAGGACAGAGGCAGTGGCAAATCATTTCTGAAAAACTTTGCCAAACAAACAGCAGGAACTTAACCCAGGCTGTCTCTGAAAATTGGGCGTGATGGAACAAAAGAAAACAAGCCTTTGTATTTGAAACCTCTTTCATTAAACATGAAAGACAACTCTTCCTGTGCTATAAAACCTGTCCATCCAAAGGATCCTAGTAACTGAAAGCAGTTAACAAGCAATTTCTGAAAGGGATTAGGAAATGATATCAGCCAACCTAGTGTCCTTTTGAAGGTGCTGGCCAAGGTTTAAGCAAAATATGACTATGTCCTCTTTTCCCAGCAATTTCAAATCCACTGATGTCATATCCTCACTCCATAATTGTCTGGAGCAATTGTGAGTGATCGCAAGTCCTCTCCTTGTTCGGAGAGCCAGCCCTTCTGCTGAGGTCATCAGCTCCACTTCTAGTGAACTCGTTTTCCGTTCACCATTCCTTCTCAGAAGTCCCGTAGCTTTGCGGATTTAGAAAGTTTTGGGTAGCATCCTCCGTACACATTTGTACCAAACACATTTGCTTATTAGTGGGAACCTGATTGCAATTTTTTAACTGAATGCATGAATGTCTTTCTCTGATTCTCTGCCATGTCCTCTTTGTTTTCTAGCAACCCGAAGATGAGATATTCCTTGCTATTGCGAAAGCAATGGAAGAAATGGTGGAAGACAATGTTGATTGCTACTGGCTAGTCAGTAGTTTTGTGAACCAGTTAAACAATAGGTACAAGGAGTCATTACCACAGCTGGTAAGAAAATAAGTGTTATCTCTGCGGAACTGCACATATGAGCGAACGTCCAATATAGAAATAGGATGGCAGGTAGAGGTAAGTCCTTGACTTAGGACTACAATTGAGCCCCAAATTTTTGTTGCTCAGTGAGGACAGTTGTTAAGTGGGTTTTACGCCATTTTACAACTTTCCTTGCCACAGTTGTGAAGTGAATCACTGCAGTTGTTAAGTTAGTAATACAATTATTAAGTGAATCTGGATTCCCCGTTTGACGTTGCTTGTCAAAAGGTTGCAAAGGAAGATCGCATGATCCCCAGGACACTTCAACTATCATAAATATGAGTCAGTTGCCAAGCACCTGATTTTTGATCACATGTCCATGAGGATGTTGCATTTGGTCATAAATGTAGAAATTAGTCACGTCACTTTTTTATTGCTCTTGTAACTTTGGTTACTAAATGAATTATTGCGGACTGCCTGTATATAATTGATAATATATATCATACTTACTGTTAGAGATAAGGAAAATATATGTTTAAAATTACATGCAAATGTTTGGGAGAAGCAAAGATAATTACAATGATCTAAGGTAGTTTCTGGCTATGGGCTGTTGGTTTAAATAATTTCACATGAGATATCAATGGGAACATTAAAAAATTAGCATGATTGACTCCCGCTGTTTGCTTGTCTTGTAGGGTTTATATTCCCCCTCTAAAAAACAACAGCAATTGCCTAGGATCAACACTTTCTAGTGTTATGTTGGCCATTTCTAATATTTGTTGTGGATTTATGTAGCTGTAAAACATGGGTGCATATATTTACATTGAATTTGTGCGTATACAAACTCTATAATAGACTCCATTATCCATCGATACCACGTTATTTTGCATTTGTTATAAAAAGTGGATTCGGGATTGTGGTAAAAGAAAATAATTTCCATAATAAGTCCAATCCACTTTTCTGTATTTTTTGACACTTGCTTCTGGCAAGGTATCTTTTTTATTTTTTTATTTTCAGTTTGTCGAACACGTACAAGATAACAAGTATAAGTATAAACATGGACATGAACAAGAAAATGAGTACAAATAAATGGGGACAGTAGGACAGGGATGGTAGGCACGCTGGTGCGCTTATGCACACACCCCATTTATGGTACTCTTAGGAATGGGGTGAGGTCCACGGTAGACAATTTAAGGTTGAAGCTGTGGGGGTTAAAGGATGTAACAACGGAGTCAGGTAGAGCATTCCAGGCATTGACCACTGTTGCTGAAGTCGCACTTTCTGCAATCAAGTTTGGAGCGGTTTACCTTGAGTTTGCATCTATTGTTTGCCTGTATATTATTGAGGTTGAAGCTGTGGGGGTTAAAGGATGTAACAACGGAGTCAGGTAGAGCATTCCAGGCATTGACCACTGTTGCTGAAGTCGCACTTTCTGCAATCAAGTTTGGAGCGGTTTACCTTGAGTTTGCATCTATTGTTTGCCTGTATATTATTGAGGTTGAAGCTGTGGGGGTTAAAGGATGTAACAACAGAGGCCATGCTTTTCAGACA